TGCATTTTTTTTTACTGGACATGTTTAATAGCAAAAAGTCCAAAATATTGTTTTTTTTTCCTCAAAATTGTCAGATTTTTTTTTTATAGAGCAAAAAATAAAAACCGCACAGGCGATCAAATACCACCGAAAGAAAGCTCAATTTGTGGGGAAAAAAAGGATGTAAATGTCATTTATGTACCGTATTGCATGACCGCGCAATTGTCCGTTAAACTAGCGCAGCGCTGTATAGCAGAAAAATGGCGTAAATTGCAGTATCTATCCCATAGTTTGTAGACGCTATAACTGTCACACACAGCAATCAATATACACTTATTGGGATTTTTTTTACCAAAAACATGGAGCAGAATACATTTCGGCCTAAATTTATAACCAACTTTGAGTTTACTATATATTTTTTATAGCTGAAAAAATAAAAAATATCGTTTTTCTTCAAAATTTTTGGCCTTTTTTTGTTTACAGCGTGAAAAATAAAAAGCGCACAGGTGATCAAATACCACCGAAAGAAAGCTCTATTTGTGTGAAAAAAAAGGACGTAAATTTCGTTTGGGTGCAGCGTTGCATGACCGCGCAATTATCAGTTGAATTAGTGCAGCGCCGAGTAGCAAAAAGAGGCGTGGTCATTAAGGGGGGTAAATCCTCAGGAGGGCGAGGGGTTAATCAAGGTACGCTGTTCTTCTGAACAATGTCTGGAACGACCCATTTTCCTCAGAATTTCAGAGAGAAATGCACTGTAACCAGCATGTCCAACATTTGCTGCCTTCCTTCCTTAAATAAGGGCAATAATTGCCACCTGTTTATCAAAGAATGAATGACGTCACTAATAGAACTCCACACGCTATTATTGTGAACACGCCCCTTTCAATGAGAGATTGAATGACACAGAATCAGCGGCATGCATGTCATGACTGTCGGGTCTATTGGATTTCTATGACTCTACTACACCTGCTAGGAAATTATTTGCCATGTAGAGATATCATTTCCACCAAAAACAGTGATTGATCCGGTTAGTGATGTCTGACGGCTAGTATTTTGAACACAACTGTACATGGGCCGGACGGGAAGTGGTTGCAGGTTTCAGTCATGTCCATCCTTTCCCTTCTAATTGAATGCATTAAGTTTCTGAAGTTGTTTCATCCCTCAGATCTCACCATTTGCGTTCCCCGTCTCTGGACTTCTATCTTATCAATATTGTTTTCTAAGTGAGATCTCCGGGATTTATAAACCCTTTTAGGTGCTTCATATATATATATATATCCTCCCAACATTATCCAAATAATAAGTGAAAGTCCATAAAGTTCCAATTCATTTATTATTTGAATAATTATTGGAGGATATATATATATATGTGGCACCTAAAAGGGTTTATATATTTATTTTACTTTCAAGGGTGAAAGGAAGACCTTTATAGAGGCTTACGGGTTTAAGAATGATAGTTTTGGAGAATTTAATTATTTACTAGATTTCCGGAATTGGACACAATATTCTAATCTAAGATCTATATAGAGGAATCAGGACCTCCTTCCTCCTGCCGGTGACCCCTCTAGTGATAGGATCTATATAGAGGAATCAGGACCTCCTTCCTCCTGCCGGTGACCCCTCTAGTGATAGGATCTGTATAGAGGAATCAGGACCTCCTTCCTCCCCCCGGAGACCCCTCTAGTGATAGGATCTATACAGAGGAATCAGGACCTCCTTCCTCCTGCCGGTGACCCCTCTAGTGATATAAAGATCTATATAGAGGAATCAGGACCTCCTTCCTCCCGCCGGTGACCCCTCTAGTGATATAAAGATCTATATAGAGGAATCAGGACCTCCTTCCTCCTGCCGGTGACCCCTCTAGTGATAGGATCTATATAGAGGAATCAGGACCTCCTTCCTCCTGCCGGTGACCCCTCTAGTGATAGGATCTATATAGAGGAATCAGGACCTCCTTCCTCCTGCCGGTGACCTCTCTAGTGATAGATCTATATAGAGGAATCAGGACCTCCTTCCTCCCCCCGGAGACCCCTCTAGTGATAGGATCTATATAGAGGAATCAGGACCTCCTTCCTCCTGCCGGTGACCCCTCTAGTGATATAAAGATCTATATAGAGGAATCAGGACCTCCTTCCTCCTGCCGGTGACCCCTCTAGTGATATAAAGATCTATATAGAGGAATCAGGACCTCCTTCCTCCTGCCGGTGACCCCTCTAGTGATATAAAGATCTATATAGAGGAATCAGGACCTCCTTCCTCCTGGCGGTGACCCTCTAGTGATAGGATCTATACAGAGGAATCGGGACCTCCTTCTTCCTGCCGGTGACCCCTCTAGTGATATAAAGATCTATATAGAGGAATCGGGACCTCCTTCCTCCCGCCGGTGACCCCTCTAGTGATAGGATCTGTATAGAGGGAATCAGGACCTCCTTCCTCCTGCCGGTGACCCCTCTAGTGATATAAAGATCTATATAGAGGAATCAGGACCTCCTTCCTCCTGCTGGTGACCCCTCTAGTGATATAAAGATCTATATAGAGGGATCAGGACCTCCTTCCTCCCCCCGGAGACCCCTCTAGTGATAGGATCTATATAGAGGAATCAGGACCTCCTTCCTCCCGCCGGTGACCCCTCTAGTGATATAAAGATCTATATAGAGGAATCGGGACCTCCTTCCTCCTGCCGGTGACCCCTCTAGCGATAGGATCTGTATAGAGGAATCAGGACCTCCTTCCTCCTGCCGGTGACCCCTCTAGTGATAGGATCTATATATAGAGGGATCAGGATCTCCTTCCTCCTGCTAGTGACCCCTCTAGTGATCTATATAGAGGAATCAGGACCTCCTTCCTCCTGCCGGTGACCCCTCTAGTGATAGGATCTATATAGAGGAATCAGGACCTCCTTCCTCCTGCCGGTGACCCCTCTAGTGATAGGATCTATATAGAGGAATCAGGACCTCCTTCCTCCTGCCGGTGACCCCTCTAGTGATATAAAGATCTATATAGAGGAATCAGGACCTCCTCCCTCCTGCCGGTGACCCCTCTAGTGATAGGATCTATATAGAGGAATCAGGACCTCCTTCCTCCTGCCGGTGACCCCTCTAGTGATATAAAGATCTATATAGAGGAATCAGGACCTCCTTCCTCCCGCCGGTGACCCCTCTAGTGATATAAAGATCTATATAGAGTAATCGGGACCTCCTTCCTCCCGCCGGTGACCCCTCTAGTGATAGGATCTGTATAGAGGAATCAGGACCTCCTTCCTCCTGCCGGTGACCCCTCTAGTGATAGGATCTATATAGAGGAATCAGGACCTCCTTCCTCCTGCCAGTGACCCCTCTAGTGATAGATCTATATAGAGGGATCAGGACCTCCTTCCTCCTGCCAGTGACCCCTCTAGTGATAGATCTATATAGAGGGGGGATCAGGACCTCCTTCCTCCTGCCGGTGACCCCTCTAGTGATAGGATCTATATAGAGGAATCAGGACCTCCTTCCTCCTGCCAGTGACCCCTCTAGTGATATAAAGATCTATATAGAGGAATCAGGACCTCCTTCCTCCTGCCGGTGACTCTTCTAGTGATAGGATCAAATATAGAGGAATCAGGACCTCCTTCCTCCTGCCGGTGACCCCTCTAGTGATAGATCTATATAGAGGGATCGGGACTCCTTCCTCCTGCCGGTGACCCCTCTAGTGATAGGATCAAATATAGAGGAATCAGGACCTCCTTCCTCCTGCCAGTGACCCCTCTAGTGATAGATCTATATAGAGGGATCAGGACCTCCTTCCTCCTGCCGGTGACCCCTCTAGTGATATAAAGATCTATATAGAGGAATCAGGACCTCCTTCCTCCTGCCGGTGACCCCTCTAGTGATAGGATCTATATAGAGGGATCGGGACCTCCTTCCTCCTGCCGGTGACCCCTCTAGTGATAGGATCTATATAGAGGAATCAGGACCTCCTTCCTCCTGCCGGTGACCCCTCTAGTGATAGGATCTATATAGAGGAATCAGGACCTCCTTCCTCCTGCCGGTGACCCCTCTAGTGATATAAAGATCTATATAGAGGAATCAGGACCTCCTCCCTCCTGCCGGTGACCCCTCTAGTGATAGGATCTATATAGAGGAATCAGGACCTCCTTCCTCCTGCCGGTGACCCCTCTAGTGATATAAAGATCTATATAGAGGAATCAGGACCTCCTTCCTCCCGCCGGTGACCCCTCTAGTGATATAAAGATCTATATAGAGTAATCGGGACCTCCTTCCTCCCGCCGGTGACCCCTCTAGTGATAGGATCTGTATAGAGGAATCAGGACCTCCTTCCTCCTGCCGGTGACCCCTCTAGTGATAGGATCTATATAGAGGAATCAGGACCTCCTTCCTCCTGCCAGTGACCCCTCTAGTGATAGATCTATATAGAGGGATCAGGACCTCCTTCCTCCTGCCAGTGACCCCTCTAGTGATAGATCTATATAGAGGGATCAGGACCTCCTTCCTCCTGCCGGTGACCCCTCTAGTGATAGGATCTATATAGAGGAATCAGGACCTCCTTCCTCCTGCCGGTGACCCCTCTAGTGATAGATCTATATAGAGGGATCGGGACCTCCTTACTCCTGCCGGTGACCCCTCTAGTGATAGGATCAAATATAGAGGAATCAGGACCTCCTTCCTCCTGCCAGTGACCCCTCTAGTGATAGATCTATAGAGAGGAATCAGGACCTCCTTCCTCCTGCCGGTGACCCCTCTAGTGATATAAAGATCTATATAGAGGAATCAGGACCTCCTTCCTCCCGTTTCCCTCTCTTAATCCCAGCAGTAATTTCATGAATACAGCGAGTCAGATTTAATGATATGAAAACATATTTATTGCAGCCATATACACAGGAGAATAATTGGAGACACATTGCAGGTAAACAGACGGCGTTGCGCGCGGTGACACATCTGGTGACGCTCGGATTGGTCGGATATGCGGAGGATCAGAAGCCCGCCGAGCTGCGAGATGCTTTGTATCCAGTGGCGGTAAAGTCATTCAGTTTTTTGTTCCTCGGATACGTTTTCATTCAGCGTCTCGTCTTTGGATTCCTCGGCCACTTTAGTTTCTGACGCGTCTGGCTGAGCCCCCTCGCCGTCGTAAATGATATCTTCCGGGTTTGGCGCCGGAGGACAGAACTCTTCTGATGGATACATTGCAGTGAAAATCTTCTCCGCCTGAAAACACAAAAACACGCCCCACCCAAAGTAAACAGGCAACAAGCGGACAAAAATATTACAATTGTAAAACAAAAAAACATTAAAGGATGCGTAGGGGAATAACGAAAAAACAATAACTTTATCGGCAACGATCGTCATATACAAGGAGAGCTTCAACAGTCGTTCCTTCCTAAATCGATATTTTGCGGTTTTGGTGGTTGCAAGAAGTTGTGGACAATGGGCGTACTACACACGTCCTAAAAAACTACAGAGGACGTGTGCGGTATGCCCCGTCCTTCTGCCTCACTGTCGCCCAAAATAATTTTAGCACACACGAATATAACACTCAATTTTTGGGGCAAAATATAAAGGATGAGGGCGTGTCAAGTAAACCGATACCAAACATGTCAAACTTTAACCACATGACCATTGGGCCAATTCTGACTCTTCTCATATACATATAAAAATCTATAATTCTTTTTTGCTAGAAAACTACCCAAACGTGGTATTTTTTTTTTTTAAGCAGAGGTCCTACAGCAGTGGTCTCCAAACTGGGACCCTGAGGCCGGAATCGACCCTTTGCTTTCTTTTATCCAGCCCTAGAGTCAATAGCTAAAGGTCTCCAAACTTGGTGTGGCCTTCAGATGAGCCCAACAACAGTGCGTAGAGAGCTTCATGGAATGGGTTTCCATGGCCGAGCAGCTGCATCCAAGCCTTCCATCATCAAGTGCAATGCAAAGCGTCAGATACCGTGGTGTAAAGCATGCCGCCACTGGACTCTAGAGCAGAGGAGGCGCGTTCTCTGGAGTGACCAATCACACTTCTCTGTCTGGCAATCCGATGGACATGTCTGGGTTTGGCGGTTGCCAGGAGAACGGTACTTGCCTGACTGCATTGTGCCAAGTGTAAAGTTTGGTGGAGGGGGGATTATGGCGTGGGGTTGTTCCTCAGGGGTTGGGCTTGGCCCCCTAGTTCCAGTGAAGGGAACTCTTAAGGCGACATGTTGGACAATTTCATGCTCCCAACTTTGTGGGAGGAGTTTGGGGATGGCCCCTGCCTGTTCCAACATGACTGCCCACCAGTGCACAAAGCAAGGTCCATAAAGACATGGAGGAGCCAGTTTGGGGTGGAGGAACTTGACTGTCCTGCACAGAGTCCTGACCTCAACCCCATAGAACACCTTTGGGATGAATTAGAGCGGAGACTGCGAGCCAGGCCTCCTCCCCCGACATCAGTGCCTGACCTGACAAATGTGCTTCTGGAAGAATGGTCCAACCTTCCCATAGACACCCTCCTAAACCTTGTGGTCGGCCTTCCCAGAAGAGTTGAAGCTGTTATAGCTGCAAAGGGTGGGGCCAACTCAATATTGAACCCTACGGACTAAGACTGGGGGGCCATTAAAGGTCATGTGTGTGGAAAGGGCGGGGCCAACTCAATATTGAACCCTACGGACTAAGACTGGGGGGCCATTACGGGTCATGTGCGTAGAAAGGGAGGGGCCAACTCAATATTGAACCCTACGGACTAAGACTGGGGGGCCATTAAAGGTCGTGTGTGTGGAAAGGGCGGGGCCAACTCAATATTGAACCCTACGGACTAAGACTGGGGGGCCATTAAAGGTCATGTGTGTGGAAAGGGCGGGGCCAACTCAATATTGAACCCTACGGACTAAGACTGGGGGGCCATTAAAGGTCATGTGTGTGGAAAGGGCGGGGCCAACTCAATATTGAACCCTACGTACTAAGACTGGGGGGGCATTAAAGGTCATGTGCGGGGCCAACTCAATATTGAACCCTACGGACTAAGACTGGTGGGGCATTAAAGGTCATGTGCGGGGAAAGGGCGGGGCCAACTCAATATTGAACCCTACGGACTAAGACTGGGGGGGCATTAAAGGTCATGTGCGGGAAAAGGCCGGCGGACCAATATAGTGTATATTTATTAGTACTTTCAATAAAATCAATTCTAAATAATAAGAAAACATGCCATAAATCAAAGACTAATTAATACAAAGGGCTCAGTACAGGGAGGGGGGTATCAGGAGGGCATATTACAGGATGAGGAGGGCACGGTACAGAGGGAAGGCAGAAGGGCTCAGTACAGGGAGGGGGGTATCAGGAGGGCATATTACAGGATGAGGAGGGCACAGTACAGGTTCCGGGACGCTGCCTGGGACATGGCCATCCCAAGACAGCTGAGTAAAAAGTGTGCCTGTCCCAGCAAATCCGGGACATTTGGAAAAAAATCTAATTTTTTCTACATACCTACCTGTAAAATCCATTTCTTGGAGTACATCACGGGTCACAGAGCAGGCCATAATAATGACTATGTGGGTTATATGCCACCTCTAGGTGAATGGATACTGGCCAACCAGTCAAAACAGGAAGTCCTCCCCCATATAACCCCTCCTACACAGGAAGTACTCAGTTTTTGGAGCAAGCAAAGAGAATCCAGATTGGGGGTGGGGACCTCTGCGTCCCGTGATGTGCACCAAGAAATGGATTTTACAGGTAGGTATGTATAAAAAAAATCCAATTTTCTTTATTGTACATCACAGAACAGGCCATAATAATGACTATGTGGGATGTCCCAAAGCAATAACCTTGAGGGGGTGGGTGACCACCATCAACACCCCAAAAGGAGCTATTCAGCTGTTTGTAAAACACTTCGGCCAAAAGCAGAATCCTCCGTGGCTCTGACCTCCACCTGGTAAAACCTTGTGAATGTATGAACCGAAGACCATGTAGCAGCCTTGCCAAGCTGAGCAACTGACGCCTGGTGGTGGATAGCCAGAGATGCCCCCACATTCCTGGTAGAGTGTGCTTTCACCCAAACAGGTGGGACCTTGCTCTTCAAACCATAGGCTTGAATGAGTAACTGACGAATCCACTTAGAAATCATTGATTTGGTGCCGCCGATCCTCTCCTGGGTCCTTCCAGCAAAACAACCAAGGAAACAGCCTTTCTAATCTAGGCGCTCATCATCAAAAAGACCCTTATCGCCCGAACCACATCTAGGGAAGGCAAAGATCTTTCTTTGGCCGACTACGGCCTCGGACAGAATGAAGGCAGAACAATCCTGATGTAAAACCAAAAATGGTTCCCTGCAAGAAAGCTGCCAACTTCGATGCCCTTCTTGCAGAGGTAATTGCCACCAAAAACAGAACCTTTCGAGTTAGCAGAACTAATGGAATCTCCCTGATAGGTTCAGATGGTGGTTTCTGCAAAACTGCCAAGACCAAGTTCAAGTCTCAAGGACAAGAGTAGCAACAGCCAACTTTTTTTCTACTCCTGATTGGAGAAAAGACAAAATTCTTCTAAACAAATAATTCTGGGGGTGCCAATTTCGACCCTCACACCAAGAAATACATACAGTTGTGTTCAAAATAATAGCAGTGTGTTAAAAAAAGTGAATAAAGCTGAAAATCCTTCTAATAGCTTTTCTTTCCATCCACACAAATGCATTGGGAACACGACACATTCTATTCCAAATCACAACATGAAGAAAAATACATCAAATTTGTGTTGTTCCTCTAAAAAAAATGGAAGAAAAGTGAATATTAGACGGTTAAAAAAAATGGCCGTGTTTGTATTCTTCTTTACAAACTCCAACATTCACTATATAAACTGAGAAATGTTTGAAGATTTTGCTTTCCTTTGAATGACTTCATGAATATTTGGTTGTAGTCGCACTGTTTCTGAGAACTGCTGTACATCTGTGTTGCATGGAGTCCCCCAACTTCTGGCCCCTGTGATCAGGTATTCCAGTCCAGGATGATTGGACCACATTCCACAGTTCTTCTCTATTTCTTGGTTTTGCTTCACAAACGGCATTTTTGATGTCACCCCACAAGTTTTCTATTGGATGAAGATCCGGGGATTGGGCTGGCCACTCCATAACGTCCATCTTGTTGGTCTGGAACCAAGATGTTGCACGTTTACTGGTGTGTTTGGGGTCGTTGTCTTGTTGGAACACCCATTTCAAGGGCATTTCCTCTTCAGCATAAGGCAGCACGACCTCTTCAAGTATTCTGATGGATTCAAACTGATCCATGATCCCTGGTATGCGATAAATAGGCCCAACACCGTAGTATGAGAAACATCCCCATATCATGATGCTTGCACCACCATGCTTCACGGTCTTCACAGTGTACTGTGGCTTGAATTCAGTGTTTGGGGGTCGTCTGACAAACTGTCTCCGCCCACTAGACCCAAAAAGAACAATCTTACTTCCATCAGTCCACAAAATGTTGCGCCATTTCTCTTTAGGCCGGTCAATGTGCTCTTTGGCAGATTGTAACCTCTTCAGCACACGTCTTTTTCCCAGCAGTGGGACTTTGCGGGGACTTCTTGCAGATAGCTTGGCTTCACATCGGCGTCTTCTAATTGTAACAGTCCTCACAGGGAACGTCACACCTTCTTTCATCTTCCTGGAGCTGATTGTTGGCTGAGTCCTCACAGGGAACGTCACACCTTCTTTCATCTTCCTGGAGCGGATTGTTGGCTGAGTCCTCACAGGGAACGTCACACCTTCTTTCATCTTCCTGGAGCTGATTGTTGGCTGAGTCCGCCCCATTTTGGCTATTCTTCTATCCATTCCAATGGTAGTTTTTCGCTTTCTTCCACGTCTTTCAGGTTTTGTTGCCATTTTAAAGCATTTGCGATCATTTTAGCTGAGCAGCCGATCATTTTCTGCACTTCTTTATATGTTTTCCCCTCTCCAATCAACTTTTTAATCAAGGTACGCTGTTCTCCTGAACAATGTCTGGAACCACCCATTTTCCTCAGAATTTCAGAGAGAAGTGCACTGTAACCAGCATGTCCAACATTTGCTGCCTTCCTTCCTTAAATAAGGGCAATAATTGCCACCTGTTTATCAAAGAATGAATGACGTCACTAATAGAACTCCACACTGCTATTATTGTGAACACGCCCCTTTCAATGAGTGATTCAATGACAGAGAATCAGCAGCATGCATGTCATGACTGTTGGGTCTGTTGGATTTCTATGACTCTACTA